CCCCCCCCCCATGCTCCCTTCGCCACCGGCCCCCATGCCCCTCCATGGCTTTATCTTCCAGCCGCCGCCCCGGGCATGGAGAGGCTGGTCTGGAGTCACCCCTGTGTGGCCCACTCCCAGCCCTGGCAGGCTGCCCTCTACGCCCCCCAGGGCTACAGCTGCGGGGGGACCCTGATCAGCCCAGAGTGGGTGCTCACTGCGGTGCACTGCCACACCGGGTAGGTCAAGGAATGAACCTGGGACCTCCGGATCTGACCGCAGGAGACCATACGGCATGAGCTAAAAGAACTGCCTGTGTTAGGTAGAGCTGTAACAGGCTCATCAAGCCGTGTATGTGGCTATCCAGAGGTTAGAGCACGGGGAGCTGGGAGCCAGGACTCCTGAATTCTATCCCTAGCTCTGGGAGGGGAGTGGGAGCTAGTGGTTAGAACAGCGGGGCTGGGATTCAGGGTGACGGCCTGCAAGGATCCCTGAGACCTGCTCCTTTGCCCCAGCCTGACCCAGGTGCGCCGAGGGGCTCATGACCTGCGGCGACCCGCCCTGGGCTAGCAGCTCAGGGGCCGTGCGTGCTATCCGCAACCCCCATTACAATTTGCGCACCAAAGACAGTGACCTCCTACTGCTCAAGCTAGCGCCCCCTGCTGCCATCAACGAGTATGTGTGGCCCCTGCCGCTGGCCACGCGCTGTGTCCCTCCCAGCCGGCGCTGCCTGGTGTTGGGGTGGGGAACGACCTCCATCCCCCCAGGTACGGGGCTAGCGCTGCGGGGTGGGTGGGTGGGGGGATCGTTATCAGCTATCCAGGATCAATTATTGATTATTAATGACACGAACAGTTGTTCATGATTGAGGCTTGGATCGAGTGGGATTCTAAGTGATGATTAGCTATTCATTATCAATCTTCCAGTCTCTTGCTCATTAATTACTGGTTATTAATTGCCAGCTGCCCACTGCCCATTGCCTAATAATGATCATTATTATGAATGCAAAGTGATCAGTTATTATATATCAAAGGGGTAGCTGTGTTAGTCTGGATTTGTAAAAGCAGCAAAGAATCCTGTGGCACCTTATAGACTAACAGATGTATAGGAGCATGAGCTTTCGTGGGTGAATACCCACTTCATCGGATGCATCTGAAGAAGTGGGTATTCACCCACGAAAGCTCGTGCTCCAATACATCTGTTAGTCTATAAGGTGCCACAGGACTCTTTGTTGCTTTTACAGTTATTATATGTCAGTCATCCACTGTTACTGCATCCGGTCAGTATTAAGGAGAAACTGTTAGTTATTGAATGTCACCCACACCATGTCAATTACAGTGATCACTGTTAGAAATGATCACTATTAATTATGGCTGTTAACATACATATTAGTTACAGGCTATCAATTATCCATTATATTGATCATATTAATTAGAAACAATGTGCTCGTAGGTAAAGCCATTGAAATTACCCATTAATAAATGTTAATTGGTTATCCACATATTGATTATTCTCAATTAGAAACAATTTGCTTTTAATTATGGTTGTAAATATTGCCTATTAGTTATCAACTAGCTATTATATTGATCACTATTAATTAGACACTATTTTACATTAATTATGGTTGTTAATATTTCCCAAGATTATCAAGTATCCATTTTATTGATCCCTATTAATTAGAAAATATTTTCTATTAATTATAGAAATTAATATGACCTATTATGGATGATTGATTATCCATTACATTCTATTAATTAGAAACTATTTGTTATTAAGTATGACTTAATATTTCCCATTCGTTATTGGTTATCCATTATATTGATCACTATTAATTAGAAATTGTTTGCTATTAATTATGGATGTTAATATTGCCAATTACTTATTGAAGAGCAATTATCCATTACATGGATCACTCTTAATTAGAAATAATTAGTTAATAATGACTGTCAATCAATTTTTAAAAAAGTTATTGATAATTATTAATTTGGAAACTATTTGCTATTAATCACGGCTAGTGTGTCCATTAATTATTGATTATTAATTATCCGCTATGTTGATACTTGTTAATTAGAGATAATTAATTATGACCAATTATTACAAATTACACTGATCACTATTGATTTCAAAATTGTTAGCTACTAATGGCATCTATTAATTAGTGCCTATTAATTATGCATTATATTGATAAATAGAGAGTGGAACATTGTAGTTTATATTTATTGATCGGCAATTGTCCATCAGCAATTGACAATTAACCCTTTCTTCTCTGCTTCCTCCCCACAGCGACATTCTCCGACGTCCTACATTGCACAGACATGAACAGGATCTCAGCAGCAGAGTGTCAGGCGGCGTACCCTGTGGGCGTGACTGACAACATGTTGTGTGCGGGGGTGAAAGAAGGAGGTGGGGACTCCTGCCACGTGAGGTGGAGGTGGGGGTTCCCCAGGGGTATCACTGAGGAGGGAGGGCTGCTGGGATGTGGGGGGAGTTCAAAACATTGAAAAAAATACATAATTTCAGGTCAGCCCAAACACAGAGATTTTCAAAATTCTCAGATCCTTGAAAAGTCAAAATAAAATCATTTTGGGTCAATTCGGAGCATTTTTACACTTTTCTGAAATTTTTCATTCAACAGCATGGAAGGGAATTTTGAAGCAAGGAATTTTGGTTCTTTGCACCGAAAAGTTGGCCTGTTCCATTTGAAAAATGTCAAAAGGAAACATTTGGATTGTTTTGGCAATTGTTTCCTCCCCCCAGAAATGAACAATCCAGTGAAACCAGCACAGATTCACCAAATATTTTGGTGTCACAGAATCTGTATTTTTTGCCCAAAAAAAGTTTTGGTTGAAAAAGCTTACCCAGCTCTAACATTGACTCAGTAGGTGAGGAAGACACACCACAGACTACATGTGAAATTCTCTGGCCTGTCTTATACAGGAAGTCAGTCCAGATGATCACAATGGTCCCTTTTGGTCTCGGAAAAATCTCTGAAGGGGGAGGAGTTAAGGTGAAACACACAAGGGGGGAGGAGTTAAGGTGAAACACACAAGGGGATGGAGTAAGGGATTAAAATGAGATTAAAGTTATTTTAGATCACCATTGAGTAGGAGTAGGCCATTAGAATGATTGTAGCTCACACTTCAAGGTTGGGGGCTGTATTTAAGGCCTTGGCTACACTTGGGGATTCATAGCACCGCCGCGGCAGCATTGTGAAGCGCGAGTGTAGTCGCGCTGCAAGTACTCCACCTCTCCGAGGGGAATAGCTTGCAGCACTGCGAGCGAGCGTGCAGCGCTGCAGGCGCTGATTACACTGGCGCTTTACAGCGCTGCACTCGCTGCGCTTGGGGGGTGTGCGTTTTCACACCCCTGAGCGCAGCAAGTTGCAGCGCTGTACAGCGCCAGTGTAGCCAAGGCCCTAGAAAGTAGCGACTCTGGAAAGGACCCAGGACCAATGGCCCATGAGCTTCCTGGGTGATGTTGCAAAAAGAACAGGAGTCCTTGTGGCACCTTAGAGACTAACAAATTTATTAGAGCATAAGCTTTCGTGGGCTACAGCCCACTTCTTTGGATGCATATAGAATGGAACATATATTGAGGAGATATATATACACACATTGTGGCTAAGAGGGCGAGCACAACCCTAGGCTGAAGACACAGGGGAATAGCAAGTAGGAGCTGGGAAGTGGGGTCCCCTCTGGATATGGCATTGGGGAGACCCTGACTGGAGACTGCGCCCAGCTCTGGTGGGGCCAAATGTCAAACAGGAAGTTGGGGAGGGATCAGAGAAACGTGACAGGAACAATCCGAGGGCTGGACAACCTGCCTGAGAGCTGGAGACTGAAGGAGCTCGATCGGTGGAGATTCTCCCACAGAAGTTTCAGAGGGGACTTGATCCCGGTCTGTCAGCGTATCCCTGGGGAGCAGATTTCGGAGAGCAGAGGGCACGTTAACCCAGCTGACAAGGGCAGAACAAGAGCCGATAGCTGGGGGGGGGGAAGTGAGACAAATCCAGACTAGAAACAAGGGGAGTCTTCCCATTGAGATCGGGCGTCTCTCTCGAAAAGCTCCAATCTAGCTCAACCACCAGATATGGGCTTGAAATCTACAAAGGGGAAGAGTTAAGGGCACACATGCACAGGGGCAGAGTTAAGGGTGTGCTAGCTCAATCCCCAGATCTGGGCTGCAGGCAGGGATCCCTGGGGGAGGTTCTCCAGCCTGGGGTAGGCAAGAGGGCAGGCTGCGTGGTGCAATGGTCAACCCTGGCCCTAACATCTCTGCTTCCTGCTGGGTTGTGTCTCTACAGGGTGACTCCGGGGGCCCTCTGGTCTGCGACAGAGAGCTCCAGGGTGTCATTTCCTGGGGAGAGGTAGAGTGCAGCCTGCCCAACAAGCCTGGGGTCTACACCAGGGTCTGCAAATTCCTGGGCTGGATCCGCAGGACCATGTGGGAGAACTGACGCTGGGACAGGGACCCCGTCACAATAAACCCGGGGCAGCAGCCCACTGGGTCTCTGCGTCTTCTTCCCTAGCAGTGGCATGGGGCTGCTGGGCTGGCAGCTGGGGAATCAACCTGCTCTGCGCACATCAGAGAGAGAGAGAGACGTATGGGGACGGATGGCGAGATGGATGGATAGATAGATGAATAGGGTGTATGGGGAGGGAGAGATGGATGGATAGAAGGGGTGTATGGGGATGGATGGAGGGATGGATAGGATAGAGGGGTGCGGATAGGGGTGGGTTTCGTGGAATTTCCATCACTGGAAATTGGAGATGAGAAACATTCCAGCTACTGGAAATCACCCTAGGCCGTTCTCTTGAGTCAGACTGGATGGTCACAATGAGCCCTTCTGGCCTTAAATGATATGAATCCATGGAGGGGGCAGAGTTAAGGGCAGACACGCCGGGGCGGAGTTATTGAGGGGATCAGCGAGAGGCAGACCCTGGGGTTCTCGGGGTACGTCATTACCCCTACCCCGGCAGGCGGCTGACACCTCCAAGAACTTTAGCGGGACTCAGGTGTGCTCAGCACACGCCGGGCTGCAGAGGTTTGAAGGCTATGAAGTGAAGGTGGCCAGGTGCTTCCCGACAGAGCGTTTTTCCACCAGCAGTAAATTTCGATGAAATGGCATTTGGGGCTGGGCTGGAGTGGGGTGTAGAAAGGAAAAACAAAGAGCCTTTTGCTAAGAGGTAGGACGGCCCAGTGGTTAGTGCAACGGCCTGGGCCTTAGCAAGCCTGGATTCAATTCCCTGCTCTGTCACACACTCCCTGGATGACCTTAGGCCCAACTCCATGCCTCAGTTTCCCCATCTGTACCAAGGGGACAAGAGCCCTGTCCTTCCTCCTGGGGAGGTTGTTAAAGAGCGTGAGGGGCTCAGCTGCTATGGGAACGGGGGGGGGGCAGAGAAGCCCCTATGCTACACCAACTGACCCTTGGCTCTGGCACTGGCTGAAAGGCGCTGCCCCATGGAATTCCTTCCGGGGAGAGAGGTGGCGGGATGTATAACTAGGAGGAGGGAGGAGAGATTTCCCCTCTGTTTGGGCAGACACAGCCTGATCCGGCAGGGGAGGGGGATGAGAAAAGGAAATGGGACTCTTCTAAGCACCACCCACTAAATAAGCTCCTCCCACCCGAGGCATAATAGTGTCCAACTGTTCAAATGACCATGGTGCAGCTCTGGAGTCTGGGGTTGGCCTGGGCTATGTGGGGGCTTGGGGAACTTGCCCCTCTCCCAGCGAGGGGCTCAGGCTCTCTGCAGACTCAGGCAGCATCGCTGGGTTGGTCACACTGGGGGCAGTTGCCCCCTTAAGACTGCGTAGCGGCTTCGTCTCCCCTCTACCCCCAGGTATGCCCCCCCCTGCAGGGGGATCTCAGCCCGGCTGCCCTGCCCCGCCCAGCTGGGATGCAGTGGGAATTTTCTGTACTATTGTTCCTGGCCTCGGGATTGCTCCCCAGCGGGGGCGGCCGGATGAAATCCGCGCGGGGGGGCCAGGCTGCCAGGGGCGGAACAACTGGGGCGTGAAGGGACCGGCTGAACCCCCCCGAGAACACCCCCGGCCTTGGCCATCGACACCTAGCGGGGTGGGGGGGATCTGGGGCAGGCAGGACCCCGATGGGCCGAGGGGTGCCAGGCAGGCTGGGCAATGCAGCTGGCCGGGGGGAGGGGCAGACATGGGTCCCCCCGGAGCCGGGGGGGGAAGAGCTACTTGGGGGGCGAGCAGGACCCCGCGATGGGGTGGGGGGGGGCTGCCCCACTGCAGTGGGACCCTCCCAGGGCGCCGCACCCAGCAGCCGGGGGCTCCGGCCCTGCAAGGAGGGGTATGCAAATGAGCTCATTAGCTCAGCTAGAGGCCGGGGGGTGGGGGCCTGACGTGGAGGGGCGGGTGGAGATTGGTGAGGTCAGCGCGCGCCTGCATCCGGGGCATGGAGCGCGTGAGCCAGGTAGGCGCTGTGGGCCCCCCCCGCTC